GGTGTTGCCTCCTTCCGGGGGCAAAGAGGCCGCCCCCCCCCCCCCCCCCCCCACCAGGGCACCAGGTTAGTTCAGGGAGAGGCAGCAGTATGGTGGTACTGCTGCTGCCCACTCCGGGCCGGCGGGGATGCTCGGCGTCTTCACAGACAGGTCCCTTTAGTATCCCTCCTACTTGGGAGGGGAGAAAGAGAGGAGTGGGCAGAGGAGAGACGGTTCAGAAACAAGCTGAATCCTAAAGGTAGGGTAGAGCCATTTTTTAGTATCAATTACTGGTTTTACTGTGGGAGCACTGGAGTCCTTTATTAAAGCCAATGAAGTGTGAGAAGGGATGTACGTTCAGTAAGCTCTGGTCTCCTTGCTGTCTGTGTGTCCTGGTCAAGAAATAGCTGTCCTCAACTACGGCCGCTGTCAGATGGGAAGTGGAACAAGAGAAGTTACGGATATTACCTACAGGAAGGAGTTGAGTAACATCCAGGATGAAATGCTGGCCTTGGTGTGCTCTGGGGAGCAAACAACCCCGTTGTAAATGTCTGCTTCCCTCTTCTGAAGCTGTTGACAATACCCAAACCACTGAGCCTGTCTCCACTTCCAAGCAGAAAGACCGTGCTGGGGATGCTGGAAGGGAAAATGCCCTATCTTTCTAGCTTTAGTGCTGCTAGAATAGTGACCTGCCAGTTCTTACCTCAGCAAAGAAGTTTGATTGAAGGATCGGGACTGCAAAGTTTCTTCAGAATGTAAAGAAATCCATGTTATTTTAATGATTAAACGTAGGTATCATCCACTTAAGACAAACACTTATACTACTGGTATAGGTCGTGCGAATCTTTTGGGCAAAAAAGTAAAGTAAAGTAAAGTAAAGTGAGGACAGTAAAAAAGGCCCCATTGTAAGTGTTGATTGCTTTTCATGCACATATTTATTCTCTTTCCTCTTCTGATACTTTAGAAATTGTCCTCTGGGAACTCGTCTCTAACATGGCACACTGCTTTCTTGTACATAAATATCTCTCTAAGGTATTAATTTACTAAACTGATTATCATAACACAGTTTGAAATTCATGAAATATGTATATAGCAATGTTGTTTGTTGCTGTGTTGATATTAGCTTAGAAGCTTGGAAAAGAAATGCTCTTATGAGCATGTGCACCCTTATTTCTAGAGATGTGATTAAATGGAAAATTAATCTCCCCTCATCTCATGTTTACTCTTGAGGGTGAAGGCTGAGGTCACAGCAGAACATTGATAAACTTTTCTAATCATTTGTCTTCATTATCTGAGGCTTATAGATAGGTTATACTTTCTCTTTATCCTCATATATGCTTTTGAAAGAATCTGGATGCTAATTTACCAGTACTTTTGCTGTGTTCATTAATTGCTGTAGTAAATAAAAGCTTGGATTTGCAAGGATGAGTGGGCTGGATAAGAGAGCATCCGTAACAGAGATCTTCAAATGCTCAAATTCTTAAGTTTTAGACCCTTCTTCATTTCCTGGAAAGTTAAAATCTCATAGGCAAAAAGCCTATATTCAAACTCCAAGATGTTTTGTGGTCGGTAAGAAGTATTAGTGATGCATGCAGGAAGCTAGTAACAAAAATGAAAATGGAATCTGTCCCAGGAATCACAATCTCATGTTTTAAAACAAAGGGCTCCTTATGGGAGGCTGATTTTTTTTTTTTTTTTTTGAAGACTTAACTTTTAGAAGTTCTTTGCGGTTCATAATTAAACACTAAAGCAGTTTAAGCTGTGCAGTAGTTGGTTGAGACAGGAAGCAGCCAAAAAGGTGTCAGGAGTTATTTGACTGAACAGTTGTATTATTCCTTTCTATGGTCAGTTCTCCCTTTTTAATGTGCTTTTGAATTAACTCTTTGGAGCAGGGAGAGATTAAAACACTAAGATGGGAGTACAGAAGGCAAGTAATGGCTAAAGAATTGAAATTGTGCCTGCGCAATTACATCTGGGGGGGCAATAATTTCGGGGGGGGGGGGGGGGAGTTTAATCTAAGACATGAAGCATACAAACCACTCTCATTAGTTCATATAATTAAAACCTATTTTTCTTGAGAAAGTGTGCTTGCTGGGAAATACATCTGTACGGAAAGTTTGTAGACAGAAAATCAAGCAGATCTTTGTGCTGAAAACAGATAATTGGCAAATGTAAAATAAAATACAAATGCAAACTGCAGTTGCTTTTTAAAAAGGTGTGTGGCTGTAGATAATCTTCAGTAGTATTTCTTACCTTTGGAGTGAATTTGTAAGTGTTATAGTCAAAGCAGTATTTAAAGCCACAGTGTACTGGCCTTGGTTGGGACAGAGTTAATTTTCTTCATAGCAGCTCGTATGGTGCTGCGTTTCGGGTGTAGTAGAAAAGTATCAAAATGGGACTTTTTGGTAGAAATCGGTTATATAAGTAAAACTGCTGCTTTGTGTCCAGTGTTTCCATTTCCTTCTGTATACTTTGCAGTCTAGACAGGTCCATTCAGCCAGGAAAACGTAAGGCTTATTTCACTTATAAAAAAAAAAAGTCAGAAAGCAGTGCTACTTCAAAAGTAGTTTTGAAGCAGGAAGGGAAGAAAAGACTAAAATGGCATTGCCACTGAGGTTGGAAATGGCTGTCTCTTCCTTGAGAAGACAAATCAGTCACAGATGAGCACCCTTCTTTTGGCTCAGATGTTTGCGTGGGACTGCCTTGGTCAAAATGAACTGGGCTAGTACATTTTGAAACTGGTTTTGCTGCCCATGTCTGAAATAGCTAGGAAGAGGTCAGAAAGGTGACTCGGGTGGCGGGTCCGAGGCAGACCCAGGCCGTGGGCCACTAGCAAGACACCAGCGCGGTGTTCTCCTGGGTGGCTCAGGCAGACCTCAGATAGCAGATACGTCTGCCTTGTAAAGGAGTAGGTAGCAGTAGGTGCTGTAAACACACCCTGGTGGGGAACTTCTTCAAACACGCCTCGCTTGAACTCCTATTATTGTGGTCTGTGGATATCTAACAGCTTTTTTAGGAGCTTATCAACCGTGATCTGCGGTGTGGAGGGAACATGATAGAAACGTGGATGTGCTGTGGCTGCATTACCTGCGGGCAGCTTTGTGGGGGATTTCGGATGTATGAGAGACAAATGGCTTAAGACAGGGAATGAAGCAATGATTTTCTCAAATAATGAAATCTCGTCTCTTATATGCCCGGTATCCTAGATTTATTATTGGAATATCAGAGGAATTTCTTAGTGGAGTTTTAAGTGTTTCTGCCTTCTGGTTTCAATGAAGTTAGGGTTGGGATTCTCTCTGTGATTAGTATCTTTGTAACCCAACAGTGAGGTGCAAGAAACGTAAGGCACTTTGTTTGAAATGATGCTTTGAATAGTACTTCGATGTCAGATGTTCGTGCACCTGATTTAAAATACTGAAACAATATTTTTGAAACAATTGGTGCTTTTCAGGTTAGATTATTGATCAAAAAGGAATCCTAATAATTACTGTTTGGAGAGGGAGAAGTACATGTGCACCGCCTAAAAATATAAAGTGTTTTTGAGGAGTGAACTATTCCTGTTACAGGAGAGTGTGTAACATGTTTTGTATATTTTTTTACTTGTGCTGCAAAACTGTGTTTTCTTTCTAGCAGGTGTAGAAGGAAGGAGGGTCTGTTATCTGCATCTTGGAGCTATTTCAGTTTGGATCTTTGCAGTAACGTTGAGACTGCGTATTTCCAGATGTGATTTTTTGGGGGGTATTTTATAATCACATACTATTTTCTACTGATTAACTTAATTATTAGCCTATAAAAATATTTGATATTTACTCTTGTTGCTTTTCGTAGCATGCACTAAACTTCATTTAATATAATTCAGAAATCTTATGATTTTACAAGAGTTATTAACAAGGGAAATATTAATTTGTAAATTGATTTTAACTCTGATTTGCAAAGACAGGAAGCACAGTTTGCAGTGTTAGCAAAATCTGGTAGTGTAAAATGAATAACTTGGGGTTTTTGTCTTCTGTCATGAATCTCATTCAAAACAGAATTCTTTCACTTGGCCAAACATTGTCCTGATTTTAATTTGGTCTTCAGGTGGAGTTTTCTGTTCCTGTTTTGAACAGGTGCTTATAATGTGGGGGAGAGCAATGCAAATGAAAAATTACAGGCTCTTTAGTTTTAGTAACTTGCTATGTTGGTATTTTCCCATTTGTAATCACTTCCGACATGAAGATAGTTATGGCACTTTCGTTCTCGCAGTCCTTCCCTAGACTTTTTTTTTATACTCTCTTCTTCAGGACTTTCTTCGGAATATTTAAGCTAACTCACATGCTATCTAAGGTTCTTGAACTATGCCCAGGTATTCTCAGGCAAAAGCTGAGATGTGCCTTCAGCTCTTGCCCCGGTACTGTATTTGTGTATTGAGTCTTCTGTGTATAGGTGTACTGTGCTCTATAAGCTGTGACGATTTGAGACTGTTCTGACTTTTTTAGGCACTTCGTCTCAGTAACGTAGCTATGGCAAAAACTACCACTGGTCAAATAGTAAATCTGCTGTCAAATGATGTGAACAAATTTGATCAGGTAAGAAGTATTACAGATCTTTCCAAGGGGCTGAAGAGGTTGTGGGGTTTCAGTTAAGAAGTTTTTGTTTACAACTGGTGATCAAGTGTTTCTTACAAACATTTCTTCTATTTCTCGAACATCATAGGAAGAGAAACATTCTCATAAAATATGGGAAGGAAAAAAATACTTTCCCTCCCCTTTAAATATTTTCCTGCTGTTTTCCTAAGCTCAGAGAAATGTTGGCACATGAAGATAAAACAAAACCAGTGTGGTAATTTGCTTACTTTCTGGAGGTTAGGCACCTCCGTGTACATTTAGGTCTCTGAATCTGGTGCAGAATTCTTTCTCGATGGGTGCCTCAGTACCTGCTGCAGACAAAGGTTCTTCCTCAACGTTGTGTTATTAGCATTTAATTTTTTAGCTAAGACCAAAAGCTAATTTTTATTTCTTAACTATTTGCCTAGGTAACGATTTTCTTGCACTTCTTGTGGGCTGGACCAATTCAAGCTGTAGCAGTAACAGTACTTCTCTGGATGGAGATAGGCCCATCATGTCTTGCAGGAATGGCAGTTCTCATTATTCTTCTTCCTGTCCAGACCTGCATGGGGAGGCTTTTTTCTTCCCTAAGGTAAGGTTGCACGTGTTGGGCTGTAGGTATTTTTTGTCCTGGGTTTTAAAATGTACATATTGGAATGAGGTGGAGTACTGCTCTGAGATCAGCTTCTGTCTGGTGAGGTTTTTTGCATTGTCTTTTATCTTTGCTGATCTTTTTCATAGTCGCTAATGTGAGATTTCTGAATTCCTGTTTAGGGACTTGAAGTTGTCTGTCTTCCAGACGTGCTGAAAATATCTGCTACTCATTAGCTGTCCAGTATATTAAAAGAGTTGGGATACTTCTGTAGCTATCTTGCTGTAGATCTTGGCATAGAATTGTGTAACTCCTTGAGCTTTGCCTTCCTGCATTGATGCTTAGGGAGCAGTTACTACAAAGGCAATACTGTCAGTCCTGCCGTAAGTTTGACTAACTGGGGTGACATGGGCGTTGCAGCAGCAAGCTCTGAAGGTTTCACGTTCAAAGATCTTGCCCACTCGCCTCCAAGGCAAAGATGCAGAGAGGAAAAAGCGGAAGGAACTGAGAGAGAAAGGAAGAAAAAATTGTGATGGTGGTTTTGATGCCAGCTATGAGGTTTCTAACTGTAAGGTTCTAGGCTATGTAGATATAAAATGAGTTTGCAGTAATTTTCTATTATCGGACAAATTTAATTTGTTTTTCTGTGACTTCCCCCTAAAAAAAAGACTTGCCTCAAGTGGGAATATTGAATTATCTTCTATGTTCTCGCTTTCTAACTTTCTTTTTCTTTTGTAATTAATGATGCTCTACTTGTATCATGGGTTTATAAATGGCTTTTGCATCTAAATGGGAATATTTTTGTTCTCCTGTACTGTCTATGCATATGCTTAGTAGTCCTGTGCATCTTTGTTGCATTTGTATTCAGGGTGAATGGGTTCCTTCTAGCTCTTTGGATAAGTAAAACTTCTTTTAGTGAGTTACTGTTGTTTTCAAGTTGTATTTTAAGACAAGTTTTCCAGAGGTATTGAGACTGGCATTGCCATTGCATGGCTAGGTATGAAGAGAGAGCTGAGAATTACAAAACAAGACCAACTCGTAGACTTCCTTCTGTTTGTAACCACTGTGATAGTCCTCAGTTATTGTGCTCACGTACTGTTTCTCAAATAATCAGCCATTCAGTGTTCTCTGTCAAATTCTTAGGTTTTTTTATGATAAAACCTGTTTGTAGAACACTTCCAATCTGTTCTTACATGTGCATTTTCACTGCATGTGTAATATGCATGCATAAGTATCAAGCTACTTCACTGTTGTGTTTTTTGAGTTTTAAGTTTTTGAGGTTTTGAGCTTTGAGTCAATAGTTAAAATACTTAGCACTTAACTAGTGCCTGATCCGTGGTGGTAAGCATTATTATCCCCATTTTACAGATGGGAAACTGAGGCACAAAGAGATTAAGGGACTTGTCCAGGGTCACACAACAAGGTGACAAAAATCTCTTCTCGAAGGTATGTATTTTAAAAGTTAATCAGTGGCAGTGTAATGTTGTTTGGGTTTTTCTCCCATTCATTAACAGCCACTTGTTTGGATGCAGTGCAAGCAAAAGAATTTAACCAGAAAAACTTCTGCTTGCCTACATGTGCACAGATCTTTGTATTTGTGAATAGAAATGTATAGTGAACAGAAAGAGTTAATGGAAAAACTGAAATGGATTCCAGCTCTGTAATGATGAGTGTGTTCACATGACAATTACTGGGAATCTGCATGGATTTAAGGAAATCAGCCTATGAAGAAGTAATTTAAAGATTAAAGCTTTGCTGAAATCCAGGCATGCTCAGTGTGGCAGCTAATTTGCGCTGTTACTCAGCGTTGTACTTGTGACCCGGTCTTGTAAACACATATGAACGCACCAGTTTATGATGCAAGCGTTAGCTTCAGTGCTGTAGGAGTTTGCAGGAACGGATTCAGTATCCTATGGAATGATATACGCTGTATTATGCGGTATTGCTTTTACCTGCACAAGTACTACAAGTTTTACAAAATACACGACCTAATGTATTATTTGAGAAATAGTTCAATTATTGGACTGAGGACTATTTTATATATATTTATTCACAAGAGCTGAACCCTTTTACTGCTTAGCCATGCAACTGCAATATTCTCATTTAAAGCCCTTTTAGTTTTTTTTAAGAGAAAATCTATGTGGAACTGTTGTGTCAGACATGATGAAAACTCATCAAATACGCCTCACGAAAGCAAAAAAGAATTCTGCAGCTTGCTTAATTTAGAATGGTTATTAGCATCATAGAGGTGACGTCTCAGACACCTGAAGAATTTTCAGGTCCTTTCCTATTGTGCTCTTAAGCATGCTATGTGAGCATGTGTTTCACAGTCGTCCTGGTCTGCATGTACTCTGAACTGAATATTTTTGAAACTAGGGACATGTCTTCCTCTGCTGTAAATTGCCATCAGAGCACTGGAATTCTGTGTACTTTAAACCATTATATAATATCTCTGAGACTGTGGCTTCTGGTGTGTATGTACAAAATATGCTTTTTGCAATGTAGAAGAGTGTAACTTAAAAAAAAAAAAAAAAAACAACAAAAAAAAACCCAAAGAAAAATACCCCCCCATACCCTCTTGAACATTTTAAAGCAATTTGAAAGATGGTTACTGTGATGCCATTTCAGTGGGAAAACTGAAAAATTGGTTTATGAGAACCTTTTTGATTCACACCATTTAAAAAAGAAACCTCTGTTAAGTTTATTATTTTGAATCATCTTCAGCCTTCTGTTATCTGGAGACCAAGTCTGGAAGTTAGGTCTGAAAAGTGACTGTTTCAAAAGATTGCAGGTGAGAATTGTTGTTTGCTGCTGCAGAGACACGAACAACACATGCTAAATTTTGCCTTTTGCAGTGGTGGTGTGTGCATGGGGAAGAGGGGATGAGTTCTCACATTCTTTGAGGAATTGTTCTTCTTCTACTGTTTCTTTTTGGAAAAGAGGACTTCAAAATGATAATCTCGTTCCATGTCAGTACGGTTGGTTTAGGCTAAGCTATCTTCCTCAGTCTTAATAAGAACCCTTGATGGTATTAGGGCCAAGTTCCTACATTTCTTTTGTCAGTTTTCTTGTATAAATATTTCCTGATGCCCTGCTTCAGCCATCCCAATGTTTATGGAATGCTGGTGCTGAGAAGTTTTTTTTTTTTTAAATAACAAGCAGGAGGCTGAAATTCTTTCTGCTTATGTACTTTAAACATGGCTATTTCTTCCAGAGCATCAGAGAAATCTTACAGGGAGCAGGTTAAGCTGACAAACCAGCCACTCCTGACAAAACCCAGCCACTCTCTCTAAACAGCTCTTTTTTTTTTTTTTTTTTTTTTTTTTTTTAAATATGATCTCTGAATCTTAACTTTCATTGGTATATAGAAAAATAAGTAATTTAGCAGGAGATGGTATGTTTTATCAAAATAAGGCCTACCATAGCTCACTATGTGCGAGGTATGTTTGTCTACATGAATAAATTCAGAATTGTAATAGGCTTTATTAGCATGGTGTATGCATTCATTACATGGCTTCTAACTTGCAATGCTTTTTTCCTAATTAAAACTGTGACTTTATTATTTAATTATATATATTTTCCAGTTTGTTCATTAGTGCAAACATAATGTGGGACCAAAATAGATATATTTACTTCAGTGGTAATTACAATTAATGCTTAAATAATATTTATTTATTAAACTAAACCATATCTAGATTGGCTCTCCTAAATTATAGCTCATGTACTGTTACTAAGTAATCTTTGCTTCAGCTAGGGTTAATCTTCAAAAGACACAAATGGAGACCAGTTTCTTTAACAACATCAAGAGAGCCTTATGAGAAGGGTTATTTTGGCATTTCAAAACCATTTCTAAAAGTAGTTTTCTGATTTTTGTTTAGTTCTAAATCTAATATTTGTAAGTTTTTTATTTGGGGGGGGGGTTTGTACACTAATGGGTTGTTTAAGGAATACCATGTGTTTGTGCAAGCTGACATATAATTCTGAACATTGAATCAACTCGCAGTTCCCTGAGAACAGGGAATACCAGGAATACAGACATACCAAGTCTGTCTGCTGTGTGTCAGCTTTAAGATACTGGTTTAGGAAGACTCTTTAATGCAATTACGATTATATGAATCCTCTTCACATGTAAAAGCAAAAACTTCATTAATATGAGTATGCTATGCAATAGTAAATAGTCTCTTCTTCTTTTGAGAATCTGAGAATTTTTACTTTGTGCTATTTACAGAAGCAAGACAGCTGCCTTAACAGATGTCAGGATTAGGACCATGAATGAAGTCATAAGTGGTATGAAGATAATAAAGATGTATGCTTGGGAAAAATCATTTGCGGAACTTGTGAATGGTTTAAGAAGGTAATCCTGGAAAGATACAGCTTGGTATATGATCTAAATCTGTTTCTGTTTTTTTACATGTCAATAAGTGCATTATTTTGTGCTTTAAAGTGCAGTTTACTTGAACTTCTTTGGCTCTTTTTTTTTAAAACTTTCTATAGAAAGATCAAAGGAATAAAAACATATCCTAAGGGGACAGAAAAAAAAAAAAACTTTGATATTTATAAATTCTGGGTTTTTTAATGCTTCCTTTTATGGTTGTGTTTAAAACCAGCAACTAATAAACTGTAGTAGTTGTAACTGAACAATTTAATCCTCACAGTTCTGTAAAGTAATAGCAAGGAACCAGTAAGCAGACATTTCCCTTCTGAGAAGTATATGGAATCTGACTTTGTCCGAAATGATAGCATGCTGGGGTAGTACTCTGCTTCCCTTTCTGCTTTTTCAAGTATCGCTCAAGCCATCTGGGAAGGGTGGAGGGGAGAAAGACAGCAGCTCAGAAATTCCCTAGTTGTTCAACTGGCAAGGACAGCTGAGTTTGGTATCCTAACACATTTCATTTCAGAGGTCCATCAGCATCTGATTAAAACTTACTCATAAATTCGACTTTCAATCAATATTTGTGCTTTTACTTGACAGTATAAGAGCATTCAGTGCTAAAGGATAACTGTAGGAGTTCAGGTGCATATTCCTCATAGTCTAGTTTTCATGTTATGTCCCTCTCCAGCATATGAGTAGAAGTTGTTACCCTGCTGTAAATTCTCTTTTTTTTTTTTTTTTTTTTTTTTTTTTTTTTTTTTTTTTTCCCAGAATGTGGTAGGAGTTGTTTCCCTTGTGTAAATTTTTTTTTTTTTTTTTTTTTTTTTTTTTTTTAATTTGGAATTCCTTTACATCTATGTGCAGGCTTGCAAACTTGCTAATGTTCCCTGAGACATTTCTTCCCACGCACGTAATTGTTTCCGCCTTCAGATTATAGGATCCTGTGCTGATTGAATGTTCTTGATTGATTGAAAGCTTTGCTCTCTTGCTTGGAGCCAGAGAAGATACTTCTTTATTGAAAGCTTTCTCAGTGGGCATATTCACATCACTAAACTTTAGATTTCCAAGTTCAACACCCCATTAGGATTAGAGGCTTCCTTTTTAATGATGGAGAGAAATAAGCTCTTCCAAAACACATCTTGAGCCCTTTTCGTTTTCTTTAACTGCACTGTGGAAAACTGTAGTTAAAAGTCTTAAATTCAGCCAGGTGATGTATTGCCTGGTATTTCCACAGTGGCCCTTGACAGTTGCTAAGATGACATCTGAACTCCTCTGTTGCTCTTTTTTCCCTGTGGCTGTCCGAAGTAGTTTCCTTTTATATAACTCCGTGCCTTAAGACGATGTAGTATATTATATACAGCCTGCAGGTAGGCTGTAATTTATCTGATATTTATGGAGAGTAGCACAAAGAACTTGCTGATTATCCACAGATAGTGAGAGGATTATTAAGGATTATTAGAGGCTGGGAAAAGAGTTTCATCCAGGATTGTAGAAGTAATTGAATTAGACCCAATTCAAATAGTTTACATACAAATGTTCTTTCACTGTACTCTGGAGATCAGAGATTGTGAGCCCTTAAGCTGAAAAAATAAGTCTCTGAAACTCTTTGAAATTCTGTTAATTCAGCCAGTTTGGCAAGTGTAGTGGGAAAGTTGCTTAACTAGTTTTCCAGCAGCGCATCGTACATCCTTCTCTCCATTAAGTGAGGGCTTAATTTACTTCAAATTGTATAATCATAACTCGAGTTTCTAATCTTAGTATATAGTTCCAAGTGAAAGGTAGTCAAAATGATCAAGATTTTCCCTGAGAATTGCCATAATATTTGGGACGAGAAATTAGGAATCGTTTCAGGATATTATAGTCTATATTATTTCAGCAGATAAGATTAGAATATATGGGGAAGGAGTAAGTTGTTACGGCTCTCTTGATAAAGAAAAACTATTATTTTAATAAGTTAAGCCTGATGGCATCCACATTGTAGACAGTGCAGTAACGTTTTGAGGATTGGACTTGATGAGTCATTTAGAAGTGGAAACTGAAATTTAACTGAAGTGGAAATTGAAAACATACGCATCAGCAGCTTTTCAGTTGCTGGAGGGAGACTTATGTGTCTGTGCAGTACTTCCATCACTATTTAGCTCGAGTAATGGCTGGCAGAACAATTGGCCTCTCAGATCAGTATTTTCTGAATTACAAACCAGAATTCCCAGAGCAAAAGAAGCCAGGAGCAGGGTCCAAATGGGGAAGGATTTAGACTGAGATCAAAGGAAATACTGCAGATCCTGTGATCCAGCTTGAGGAGCAGCAGCTGAATAATGCCAGATACTAGGGCCATGGGTGATCTCTTGATCTTCTGGAAGTTGCCCTGTTTTTTCAACTGCAGAGTATGTGTTGATCTTATCAGGAGTTTTGTGACTGAATTCTACTGGATTTTGATATTGGAAGGATAAGGAGTTTGTTGGTGCTTGGCCTTTATACAGAGGTTTTTTCGTCTTTGCTCTTGTACACAACCCAGAAAGATTCAAAGCAGATGCGAATCTGAATTAAAATACTAGTTTGACCAAAGCAGAAATAAAGAGTATTTTGGTTTTCTGTCTCTGAAAAATATTATATTTAGTATCTTAGTAGCTATAGAAAACTATTAATTTTCCCCACTCCATTTCTAAAGCCTTTTAAATTCTCTTTTGTTATTTACCATGTAACATACTTTCTTTGCAGTTCTTTACATATGAGTTGGGGTGGTGCAAGGGGAGGAGAAAGGATATGAGTAAGATCCTGGGAGTGGGTTTCCCCTCATCCTATTGTTGAGGGCAACTGTAATGAGAGAGATTGATGTGATTGTTTATATTTTGCATTTTTAGGAAGGAGATTGCCATGGTTATGAAAAGCTCCTACCTTCGAGGACTGAACTTAGCCTCTTTCTTTGTGGCAAGCAAAATAACAGTGTTCATGACTTTCATGGCATATGTACTACTTGGCAATGTTATCTCTGCAAGTCGGGTGTTTGTTGCAGTGTCCCTGTATGGTGCAGTAAGACTGACAGTAACTCTGTTCTTCCCTGCGGCTGTTGAGAGAGTATCCGAGGCAGTGGTTAGCATACGACGAATCAAGGTATGGTTATTGATTTGAATGGTATGTGGATTTCTTCTCTTATTCTAACATTGTTTCAATGTCACCGACAAAAGCAGACTTATTTTAGTTTTGCAGTTTGGGATTTTTCATGAAATAACCTCTTTTGAAAACTGAATGTGTTGCTGTGTATGCATGTGCAAAAATACGACATGCACTGTAAGGCAGGCTGAAACGTAGGAGAAAAGTGTACATGCGAAGAGGTGTTGTAGACATCTTTGAAGTAAGAGGAACATGTACAGGTATACAGGTGTGTTGGGATTGGGAGCTGGAGGACAAAGCAGGCAGGTGGGAGCTGTAGGATTCGTTTTCCGTGTGCACTGCACTACCCTGTCAGCTACGGAGGACAGGTGTGAGCCTTAGCTGGTGTCTTGTGGCTGCTTTCAATACTGGACTGAAGACTCAACTTCAATAAGGATGAATATCAGTAATGCTGCTGGTTTTGGCAGATGGACTTTATTTTGTTTGGTTTGCTGTGTGTAGTGTGTGTTGTGAATAAAACAGTCATGTTTGCTATATATACCAATACTTCAGCATAAAGTGCAAGAGCAAAAGACTTAAATGCAAAATGCATTTTGAATTTAAAACTTAAAAAATCCCAAATTGCCAGGTTATCGAAATACAGAATTAAAGCATGCCAGCCATTTTAGAACTTAATTTTGCAAAAAAACTCAGGTTAATCTAGTCTACAATAGGGAAAACACTTTAGATGTAATCATATGGCTTTGCGTAGTGTCACTATGCCATTTGTTGATGAAAGTAGCTAAAAATCTCCTATTTTATTTTCTTCTCCATGTGCTTGAATATAATAAACCAAGTTTTTTTGTTGATAAATTTTCTAACTGTACTAAGCCTGCACAAAAAACTATGTATTAAACACATAATCTTTGCACTTCAAAGAAGCATTTTGTAAAAGTTGATGCGAATGGAGTTAGAGGTTAATGTGTGAAAATCATTACCACAGCAATATTGTAGGCATTACCATTTATTACTACGGCTTAAACTAAAGTGTGGGAGGGGAGAGAAGCGCTCGGGATACTGGATGTTGCACACTGTCTTTTCTGTTCTCTCATATACCCTGTGTTCAGCTGCACGGCAGTGCTCTTTCAAGGGATCTTTCAAGCTGTGCAGGTCGAGAGACGTGACTGGCTGAAAAAGATGCCTTAGGGGCAGGAGAATGGCACTTGAGCAGAGGCAGTGACGATCTGTTCCTTTTTTTTCCTCTTGTCTCTGTTTCCAGCATATCCTAGTGGTTGCATGATTTTGCTTCTGACAGCTGGCTCCAACTCCCTTGCATTTATGATTCCTTAAGGATGGTTTTTGGAAACCAGCTCCAGAATCGAGGTTCATTGGGCAAAGAATTGTTCTAATGAATCTGTAGCATCCTTGATACCGTCACCAACTTCTTAGCTTCCATTTCCCAAACTGTTTCGGGGTTGGACATTTTGCTACTGAATGACAAGATGCTGCCTGACCAAAGATGTGTTATTGAAATATAAATAAGTGGAAAGGAATTAAGGAGAAGAGAGTAGGAAATACAGAAAAAAATTACTAAGGCAATGGCTAGGTATATTTGGGCAAAACTGGAAATGTATTTTTTTAAGAAGGTGCTTTCTCTTCGGTTTTGTGGAACAAGTGAGGTTTCTGCACTGATCTTGAAGTATGCTCAGATGGGAGAAGGAAGCAGGAGATGCTGTGCTCCAGGTGACAATAAAGAATGATAGTCAAATAGGAAGCATTAGCCTTTCCTCCATATTCATTTGTACATACATAAGAACTGTGTGGCAAAAAGAATAGTGGTTTCCTTATTGAGTTTTTCACCTAAGCTCTCTTTCCCCCTTGTCCTAGCAACGCATCTCAGAGCTGGTCTGCATCTCTTCTTGAACCTCATTCACTCTTTTGTGGTGGCATAATAGGCTCAAGGTCACCTCGTGAAACAAAGTGAGAGTGGTTGTTTTTCAGAGGGTTATTTTGACAGACATGCAGAAAAGAGAATAAGTTTCAGCTGTGTACAAAAGATAGAGGTTTCTCTTTCAAGGACAGTCATATCTCAAGCTAATGTTTGCTTCTCAGCATCCTGTGGATGGTAGCAACTTTATTTTCCTCTGCACGGAAGATTATTAAGTACTAAAAGAATGGAAGAATGTTTTAAGAGAACTTAAAGAGTCTCTAAGGCTTAAGTTATTTATTGCATTTGAAAGTTTTATTTCTAGTGTTGATTTTTTTCCCCCCATGGTTTAAAATTCATGGTGTTAACCATGTAATTTTTTTCTTCATTTGTACTGGTTTTATTTGAAATCTTCCATATGTGATACTGTAACATTTTTGAGTTAAATGGCTAGCTAGGATTTATACCTGTGGTGAATGCTACTGCTAGAAGAGAAATTCCTGGTAAACTCAGAAACAACGATTCCTTGCTTGTAACTGCTGGTATTTCAGCCATCATCTAAATCCAAATCACACTTCTGAGGTCTTTTCTCAAGCCGCACACCCCAGTACTGATTTAGGCTGTGTCTGGAGTTTCTTTCCCTGCCTACCACTCTCTTGTCCCGAGTTCTCTTTTATACACGTACCCGTTTGCCTATCTAAAACAGCGCTCAGCAATACTCACCTGCCGGAGAGCTCAGGCGTGTGTGGCTTTGCGCTTCTGCCTTTTGGTGGAGACATATCTGTATGTGCATTGAGTTTGCAGGCCGCTGCGTTGAAACACTTGACTTCTCACCGCTCTCTGAAACGATACCCGCCAGCGCGAGTTTGAGCAGTACCTCTGGGCCTCTTAACACCTACCAGTACCCTTCCTGCCCTCCCCTGGCTCCCGCCATCCTCCTCCTCCTTCCTCTCAGTTACTGACTTCCCTGAGCCTTCAGCAGCTACCTTGCGCTGCAAACTGTTAGCTCAGCACTTGTTAACTGGTCTCGGCTTCTAAGATCAAGACCTTCCTTCTTTTCTCAAAGTATTGTCTGCTAGAGCCTATGTAAGGTCTTTATGCTCTGCGATTCAAAGCACGATAGAATTTTTCTGGTTTTGTCTTAAAATTGTGTCACTGTTACCCTTGAAAGTTTTCTCTAGAATTTGCCCCTTTCCTTTCTAAACATGTTTGAGCTATTATAATCTAGCATCAAGCAAGGTGTGCTAGAAGTGTGGCTGTGGTACAAAAGTGCGTGTTTATGCAACTTGAAGGAAAGGTTCTCTGACTGGGATATAATGTAGAAGTACAGCAGTGAAAATGCAACAAACCAGTTAGTTACACAGGCGTAAGCAATTTTTTTTGTTAATGCCTTGCACTTTAAAAGGAGGAGAGGTTCAGGTAGTGTTCTGCAGCCTTTTTGTTGCTTGCAGAATGCTTAATAGGGACAGTGGGTAGCTTCTTACCGTGTTGTCATTGTTCTTCCAAGCAAAACAACGTAAGCCTCTACCATCAAAGCAGTGGAATGATGAAGTGTTGCAGTAAGGGTTTCACCTCTTCTGCATGGGAAGAGGGAGTCAAACAATTGTAAGATTTGTCAGTGTTTTAAGGAGAAGACAGGGCGGGTTCTTAAGGTCCATTTGCTTCAGGAGTTCTGTTTTATTGAGCAGGTGGTTATTAGAGTCCTGTAGTACTTTTATGCTATTAAATCTGCACTTTTTTTTTGGGGGGGTGGGGACAGTTAGCTAGTTAGAGGTACGCTGTTGAAGGCGTTGCACATTGCTTTGAAAATGTAATTCCTTGATCGGTTTGCGGTTGTTGTTCCCCTCCCTCCCCTCAGTTAATGGTTTTGTATGCTGCTTCCAAAAATGTGCTTGGGTTCCTTTCCTGCTCTCAGTCTCACATTAGGCAATATCCTGTGCTTTTCTTTTATTGCAGAACTTTCTGATACTTGATGAGGTCTCACACTTCAAGCCGCAACTGCATGGTAATAATGAGAATGTCATTCTTCATGTTCAGGATTTGACTTGCTATTGGGATAAGGTAAATTTACTTCTACTAAATGTAAAGTATATTGGCACTGCAGGCATTTTAAGTCTAAAAAGCAGTATGTCTATGTAGAGTGTGCTGATGTTTTGTATTCCATCTTTTGTGTATGAGAATCCTTTTAGTATGTTAAGGTAAGTCTGTAGAATAGTACTGAAAACACTATCAAGTGCATCTTAAAAGTAGCTATTCCTGAATATTATACTAAATGAAAATCCTTGCGTTTCTCTGTGAAAATCTCTCTTGTTATTAAACAGCACTGTACTGTAGCCAAGATACTTAAATTGGAATTGAGGACAGACAGCACAGTAAGGTGGGTCTTAGTGCATGGGGTTTTTTTCTGTGAACTGAATGCTGATCAGTCCATTAGTCTAGAACCAGTACAATATTATACTTCTCGTAACAGATTTGAAAGCTTCAGAGACTGGTCTGCACGTATTTGTTACTCTGGTATTTTAATTGAGACTGTTCAGCTACAAATTGTTCTCTGCTTAAAATGCATGAAAACCACTGAAATTACTAGAAAAAGGGACAATACACAGGTGATAAATCTATTATGTATCCTTTTCTGTAAGAAAGGCAAAGATTGACTGTTGTTTCTGTTTTAAAACTGCAGTTGCTATGGGTAAGCAGTAATTTGTGATGAATTGGAGCAATTGCAAGTATTCTTGTGCAAGGGAAGCTTCCGTCTCCGTAAGAAATGCTGGAAGCTCTGAAAATGAGTTTTGCATATAAATGTAATGCAAATAAGACAGGTCACATATTTCCCTTTATATACCCTCTTCCCCCTGCATGTGCTGTGTCCCAAGGAAGATAAAGTGTGAAAACATATGTGAGGATCTACTGCCTCTTCCTCCTCCTCTTCCTCCTCCTCCTCCTCAGCTACAAAAGAAAATTACTATATTATTGTGCTTTACTTTCTCAGAGTTGTCTCTGTGACATAAATCTTTCTGAGACATTGAACAAATTTTTAAAAATGAATTGATATGAAAAACTTAATGGTGAATACATTCTAATGCAAAATAGAATGTATTTCTTAGCTTTGTTTTCTTCCCAAAGCAACATTGGTACTGCTGTTAACAATTGATAGGAAATGGTTGCATAATATGCCCATAAAACACCTTCTTCTTTTTTTTTTTCATGAGTTGTTTATATTGCATAAAGCAGGGCAGCATGACTGGAATTACTGGTTTCCTTTCGATTAAAAAAAAAAACCAAACCAACAAACCACCCACAAAATTGTTACTGTAATTTTCATTTTGATATTTAATTGCAGTGTGTATGGGAGAAGAATAGTTCTCCCAGAACTATTAAAAGCTGCTCAGAAAGTTTCTCTTATATACTCTTACAATGATGCAAAATAATTTTATAGAGTTGCTCACTGAAAAGATGACGAGTTCTGAGAGAGAGGATTTATAAAAGGAATAATAAAAATACGCTATCCTTTGTCAAGTAACGACTTAGCTTGCTCCCCTGACTAGGCCTCTCAAGGCTCTTTGGGTCTTTGTACAGACACTGTACAGCTGGATGGTAATTTTTTTAATTTTTAAAGATTGTGAGCCAAAAGAGATACTAAAAAAAGCAACAACCCACAAATCCAAAATCACTGGAAGTAAAAAAGGGATTATTAGCTAGACTTCTAGGAAAACAACCTAACATGGTGTATTACAGTTTATCAAAAGATAAACAAAGCCAATTAATTCATGGTCACACTTTTGTTTTAATAAGGCAAGTATTATCTTGAGTCCCACAGGCTAGTCTGATACCAGCATGGAACTATGGATTCTTCAGTACGGGTTTTTACTGATGTGCCTTGAGTTTACAGAACAGTCTGTCTGCTCAACCGAGCAACTTCAGATTTAAAATTCAAGCATTTGAACAGAGGCCAAATTTATCCCTTGTAATTTTAGTCACTTAAATGAGGAGCCTAAGTAGCATAGTACTTCTGTGCAATATATGATCTCTGTATCCTTTAGATGGGATGAATTGCATCTTTCTCTTGACTGTAGGATGTGTAAAGTCTGCCCAAGCTCCCCTAAGGAGCTGCTGCCCCTGCAGGGATCATTCTTGTGTCCTTCTGTCCTCACACTCTGTGTCTCTGTTCCCTCCCTTGTGCTGGTGCCAATGCTTGTATGTACGACCCTGTGGTGAACCAGTTCAGAGGGATAAAGCGACAGAAGATGAATTACTTTTAATGTGATTTGTTTTCTGATAGCTGAGTCCCACGAACAACCCGTCTGCAAGGCTAGGCCATGAGAAGTGGCAGAAGAAAGGAAGTGAAAGATGCGAATAGTTGACAGGGCACAGGGGAGCTGGGACATTTGTGGTAATGAGCTGTCAGATGAACGTAGCTGTAATATTAGTCTGTGCTCTAATTTGAGTGCCTCAGTTTAGTGCTTAAAAATAGGTGTGATGAATTCAGGACAAATTGTCTTTAATTATAAGGAATGCTATTTTGCAAAAATACCATGCCCCTTAGGTGTTTGTAGCCATGCTGTTTGCTTGCATTACTACTTTTGGATATGTACTATGATATCTTACAACAGCACTTTAATATTTGGGTAATAGTTTAAAAACTTTTTTGAAATTTTCTGTAATGTTTTTAGGCTCTTATGATACATTTTTTTCAAAAACCTGAGTGTGGGAGGAAGTATCTTTGCACTTTTGTGAATACAGAAGCACAACCTCAAGAGATCTGAAGAAGGGCCTGTGTGTCTGAAAGCTTATTTACTTTTTCCGTATAGACTAATTGATTTAATAAGAGATATTTTCTCTTCCTACAAACTTTGCATTAAAAAAAAGCCTTGGCTGCTATAAGTTGGTAGAGTTTCCCTGACCTTAGCACTAGCTGAGCACCTGAACTGTGTACTCTGGACAAAGAAATCAAATTCATGGTAAAATGCTGATTGGGAGTGGGGAGTGGAGAAAAGGAAAAAAGCCCCGTTGATGCCACCTTGTGGAAATTAGTAATAGCAACAAAAGTAGTTTTGCAGAGTCGCACAACGCGCCCAAGTTTGGGTTCTCACAGTAGGACTCTGATTTTATGTGAATCCTGCAGTGCTTCTGCGAGGTGGGAGCTGCGATGGGGGACGTGCAGCTTTGAGCTCTGGGTTCAGTGCTGCCGAACCAAGTATTTCTCCTGGCATGAGTGGACACACACATGCTAGCCCAGCTCTCCCAGCTGTCATAGGCGTGGATGGATACTGTACCTGTGTCTCTCCCAAATAATTTGAAATGAGTTGCAAGCTTCCCCTTTTTGCAGTCCCAGCACTTGGTCAGGTGGCATCTTTTGTGCGGGGTTAGGTGGTGGCCTCTTCAGCTTCTTGAGCTTCGAAGGGTGGCTGGAGGTTTTAAGCAGTCTGCAAGCTGTTAAGAGGTACACTAGATACTCTTCACCTTGCTCTTCTTTCCTGAAGCTTAAGGCTGGGTTTTCATTTGGTCCTTTAATAGAAATAGTCTTACTTTTTTTTTTTTTTTTTCCTTAAATGCGTGTATTTTCCTGCTTGCATTTTAGTGTCAGTCATGCTTAGCGTGGTCTAAGATGCATGTAAAGGCAGATCCTGTTACAAGGGTGTTTTGCTTTAATGAGAGGGAGCTGCACCAGGCCCTTAGGAATTGCGGTTTAGCATAGCTATTAAAGACATGAGCATCCTTTCTTTTCACAAGAAATACGCATTTTTACAACCTTGATAGGAGAGGTGCAAAATACGTTGGGAAATAAGCTCTTATCAGTAGTGTAACATAAAGGATAGGCATACTAAAAAGGAATATTAAACAAACAATCCTAGCGTAGTGTATTTTCACACAAATAGCCCACTACGTTGTCCATGAAAAGTCTCTGAGAATCCACGACATACAAGATGAAGTCATGTAAAATCAAACGGCATTTTTCTGTTTTTCACTTTGGGTAGAGCCTTGACTAGACCAAACACAGACCTAGCTTTCTTGGGGCTCCGAGAGAGCTTCAGCCCTACCCTTTTCCAGCATTTGTCTGGCTGCTCGGAGCTGCTGGGCGTGCTGTGCTGGGGCCATGAATGCCGGTGCGATGGCCAGCAGGGAGCTCCCGTTTCCGAGGCTGCCACCCCAGCCTTGTACTGAGCTGCAGCCGAGGGTGTGTGGGCTTTTTGGAAGCACTGCTTCTGCTGCCTTTGGGTTCCTTATTCCTTGAACGCTGTTTATCTGTGCTAATTGTTTGTGGTGAAGGACTGGGGTCTTTCAAAAGTGTGTGTGAATTACTGAAGAGGCAAACTGCGTGCCTGATAATATGGTGGGCATGTGGGTTGCTAATTTAGTGATTTACGTTTTGTTTTCTGCTTCTAAAGAGTTGTTTTGATGGTGCGTATTTCATCACTGAGGAAGCCTAACTTTTTCTCAAATCCATAGAGTTTAGAAAGCCCAGCACTTCAACAACTTTCATTTACTGTCAGACGAGGGGAGTTATTGGCTGTGATTGGTCCTGTAGGAGCTGGAAAAGTAAGTCTTAACGATTACTCCATTCTGTGGGGTTTTTATGAGTCTGTTAAACGTGACTAGAAATTTGGAAATGTACAGTTCCTTTCTGTGTAGAATAACACGCTTCACATCAAGATACTGGCATTCAAGAAAGGCAGATGTCCTTGTAGGGGTGGGGAGGAGATGGTTCGGAGTTAAAAAGTACTTTGTACGTTGCTCCTAGACTGCATGTAAAGGGTACTGGTGCTCTTCTACTGTTAACAGTAGTTTGAGTGACAGGGTGAAATAGGCCATGATGCCAGTAAACACTGCTCAATCTCTGTGATGTCTTTAATGCAATCAAACTTTTCAATTTTTATTTTATTTTCTTAATCTTTTCCAGTCTTCGCTCTTAAGTGCTGTGCTTGGTGAGCTGCCTAAAGACAAAGGTTTGATAAATGTTACTGGAAGAATTGCCTATGTTTCTCAGCAGCCTTGGGTGTTTTCTGGTACAGTGAGAAGTAATATATTGTTTGACAAGGAATATGAGAAAGAAAAATACGAAAAAGTTTTAAAAGTCTGTGCTCTTAAAAAGGTACGCTTTTCTGTTTGTGTGTTTTATTTTCACGATCTTTGTTTTTATCTTAGTGTTTTTTCAGACTTGTGCTATGTGTTGCAATATATAATATATAGAATTGATTATTATTAGTAGCATATGAAATAAATCCTGTCACAACATAAATATGTGTAATTCTTCTTGACATCCATGTGTACATGTATTCTTGTAATTCCTAAAACTTTCACTAGAGGGAGGTGTAGCTTATGTGAAGCACAGACAAATCTGGAAAAAGCTATTCCCAATTATTTAATTCCATAATCACGTTTAGCCCTTTTCACTGGTATTATGGTAGGGGTGTGTGTAAATGCAATAAAAGGTGGAAAACAAATGATCAAACTAGCACTATTTGTGACTTCTATTTTGTAAATATCCTATATGCTTTTTTTAAAAGAAATGTCATGTATATCATGTATTATGCATTGCTAATGGCTATCTATATATTGGAGAACTTGCTGAGCCCAAGTGGTTTTATGAAAAAATATTTTTGAAAGGTCTGTGCGCTAAGGAGTTTGTGACATGAGATATAGAAGAGGATTAAGCCAGATTTGTCAACAAACAGACATTTCGCTTGGCAGCTAAAAAGGTTTTATGCAGCATGTTACGATATTCCTGTCAGCAGCGACACAGGTGAAAAGCAGATGGTTACTGTGATGAAAATTTTTTTGCAAGGTTTTTACTCATGGTAGATAGAGTTTTACTATCTCCTGCTGATATTCAGTCATATGCTGTTGTCTAAACTTAAGGTTTTAGTGACTTTAAAAGACAGCAAACTGCATTTAAAAAAAAAAAACACACTTCATATTTGATGCTAGACTTGCATTCATAGTTTTCTTTGAAATTTATGTGTCTTATGAAAGCTGTGAATGAACTTTCAGAATATGTTTTATAGCTTAATATAAAACTTCTGTATTTCCTGAATAGGAATTACAATAATATGACATGGAACACTGTATAATTTTGTTCTCTTACTCATAGTTCCAAGCCCCGTAAATTAACCAAATTTGTGTGATGAATGTTGTGATTATTTCTCTTGGATACATTGCAGTAAGAATAAAAGTAATGCAGTTCTTAAGGATGTTGCCAAATGGAATATAATTTACTGATAAGAGTTAGTTCAGTTTTATTTATTGTGATAGCTCGTTTTGTTCTAGTAAAAAATAATTAATTTACTGTTATACTTCATAATTTTTAGTTTGATTTTCTTGAATCATCAGCACATATTTCTTGTAACTAAGAATAGCAGTGCACTTCCCTCTGGCAAAGCTGTAGAAAAAGTGGACTTTAAGATCTCACCTATTCTTCCTGCTTTCTTAATTGTCTTTTGCTGAAGGTACAAAGTCATAAAGTAACCGTGGATATATCATTTAGTATAAATCCTTGTGTTTTATTGTGAAATGATAATTTAATACTTTCCAAGTAAGAAAATGTCATGTTGAAGCAGCTTTGTTGGTCTTTGAAATTAAAATGATGGGGGGGAAAAAAAAATCTTGCTCTCTGTTCTTTCACATTCACAGGACTTGGAATTATTAGCAGATGGTGACCTAACAGTAATAGGAGATCGTGGAGCTACGCTGAGTGGGGGACAGAAGGCCCGTGTAAATCTGGCCAGGCTAGTGGTTTTTGCTGTTTCTAAAATTTGCAAATTGTCAGACTTAGTGACTAAAGTAAACAAATGTAAGACACTGATACTGACTTTTCTTTAAACCTTTTAGAGCTGTGTATCAAGATGCAGACATCTATCTTTTGGATGATCCACTGAGTGCAGTAGATGCTGAAGTTGGAAGACATTTGTTTGAAAAGTATGTTATTGCTTTATTTTCATTTAAAATACAATTGTTATCTCTTAATTCCTTACAGAAAAAAAAATTCCTTATAGAAAGTATTTTGGGGGAGATGAATCTCTTCACAAAACTTAACGCATTCACTTTCTGCATTTATTTTTTCTCTATTTTATGTATTTGAAACACATGTAGGTTTTTTTCCTATGCGTGTCTTTCATTTTGTTCTTTATTTTTAAAAGCCCTGTAAAAGTCTGTTGTGAAGATACTATGATTAGAATTATTCTTAAGGAAATATATGCCATTTTCTTGAGGAAAATGTCAGATTTCATACATGAATATAGGGGTTTATGGATATTGGGTTTTATGAATATTAGTACTGAGTGGAGAAGAATATGGAGTAGGATTTTAAATCACTTCTTAGTTTGCTGCAGCTTTATTTGTGTAGTAATACACTTAATTCAAGTGGCTAAAGAAGAGGACAGAACTCAGATTCCTGAGTGATTTTTCATTTTTGTTCTTGAATGGTTGAAGTTTCTCTTAGGTAGGTGAAATAGGGAACTGTGGTGTGCAGAGTAGACTCTGGAGAGCAGAAATAGAGAAAAAGAGAATGTATAAGCTTACCATAAAAGAGAGAGATATCGGACCTTCCTCCATTCCTGAAGAAATACGAGAGTGTTCATTAAAAGTCAGGTTCCCTTCTCAATAAATTTCCTCTTCTCTGTCTCTCTCTTCTTTCAAACTGCCTAATCTACAGTACATAGTGAGTATGAAAATAATCCAGTTATTCCCAGCCAGTGTTTCATTCTTGCTTCTTCATACCCTGCACCTCTCAGTATCAAAAGGTATAATCTAGAATTTATTAGAAGTAGAAGGAAAAACTTCCATTGACTGAATTCAGTGGGCTTTGGTTGAAGCCTTAAATGAGAGTGTTTTCTTGAGCATACTTACATCCTTTGAATTCCATGCTCTAAATACATGAATTAATTTGGGTTTACTGTTGTTCCTTCCTCTCCACCCCTAGACAATCATAAAAACTTGTCTTGCAGAAATGGTCGTAGAATTTGCATTGACTAGCATTGCATGCATGTTCTTTTTCCCCATGCAGGGAAGCTTTTAGTATCTAAATTTGAAAATAGTACATCCTGTTGATGTTTGCAGTTTCAAATCTGGAGATCCCTCTGAAACCCCACCAACATTTTGTTTTATTTTATTGATTTCTTCAGATGGCTACTGTTTGTTTCCATCAGCCAGTGTGGAATAAGAGGTTTATGATGCATAGGCTTTATGTTCATTATTCTATGCAGGATCATTTTCACCTGTCACGACTGATAGGTGGAGTTCATGACTTCTATAGTTCACATACTCTATCAAATTCCTTTCATGCCCATTGAAGCTATCTAGGCTTTAGCTGCTGCTTTTCTGTTTCTGCACAAGATCACTCTGCAACTCCAGCATCTGACTCTATCAGTGCCTGAGTTCTGAAAGTGCACCCGCCTGAGCTGTTAGCCTGTCTCTCCCTTAAGTCCTAAGGTCTTTTCACAGAGAGGAAAACAGGAAAGTACAGTAGTGCCTTGCAAGGGAGGTCGGGTTGCCTCTTCAATTTATTCTACGTTTTATGTGAGCTGTGACGTTGGGAGCATCTACATCTTACTGCAAAACTGGAGGTCTGGATTTTTGTACATGCAAAGCCATAAAGGAGCTAGAAACCGTTGCTCTGGTAGCACAGTGTATGTTTTGCTGATAAATGTGTGGAGATGAGGAGGAATAAGGAGATTATCTCAGAGAATTTGAAACTCGGAAAACTAGCTGGGGTTCTTCTTTTACTTTTGTTTACTCTTCCTCCCTAACTCTAGATCAGTTAGAGTGAAACAGATAAATGTAGAATGAAAGCGTTTCATGGAGAAAATGGACTGGGTGGAGTAGTAGTTGCAAGGAAAACTGAGCAATGCCTCCTTGTTAAAGATCTTGAGGGAGGGCTTTTTGACAAACAGATGTTGTCTTCTGAGGCCTTCATGGCAGCTATAAAAGGGGGTAGTGGGGAGAGTGTTAGGTTCAGTAGCTTGCTTTGAAAAACAAGGCAGGGCATGTTCTTTAATGCTTCCTGAATAGTGCTAGAAGTGTGGAGAAGAAAGAGAGCACTTGGGCAAGAATGATTTCTTAGAACATGGTGCTGAGGAATGTCTGAGACACCACTTCTTACAAGCTGCCCCCAGGAGTCCAAACCACGAGGCATAAAACAATGGATGAGATGGAAGAAACGGGATTATTTAATGAGAATCTGAAGTGAATATTGTTCAGATCACTCACTCATTTCCCCCCGCCGCCCCCAATTTATATTAATGTTCAATTTTTTTAGAAGTGTTTAGTCTATGTGTTTACATCAAAGATAGGTATGTTCCTAGTAATTTCCTGAAGCTACGGTCTGTGGATGGCTGGTTCATTACATTTGCTGCTTCTCTCCATTCTGTTCAGCTACTGCAGTAAACAGTCTAAAATATATAAATACTTTTCCAATGAGAAAGAATGCGAGTAGCACAGCTCCAGTGGGAAAACAGTCCATGATATTATTAATAAGGGATTGTGTCTCTTAAGAATTTCTCCATAATACAGACGAGTCGTTCCGTGGATGATGGAGCAGATAAAGCCAGTTTTCCAATTAATTCCTCTCTTCTGGTCAGACTCCTTGGGGCCTAGTAAGGTATAAACTGGAGATTACCTGTTCTTGTGTTATTTGTAGTCTCTTTTCCTGTGAGTTCTCTTGGTATTTAACAGTAGACATGCTTCAGCCTTTTCCCAATGTAGGGGCACCAGTATAGTTCTGTGGTTTTGTACATATTTGTGTGTATATGAAAATATGCGCATATATATATATATAAAAAAATAAAAATCGCTTTTTATTAACTTTTAAGGAATGTGGTATTTTGAGACCTCTAGTTTTGAAATGAGGGACAGCCATACAGATACAGTAGCATGTTTCCTTGTATGACAAAGTTTGGAGTAGCCTGTGGTGTTCTAAGAAAAATCATTCAGTCATGCTTGGATCCCAAGAAATTTCTTGCTTTCCCTGTGCGTCTTTGTAAACCGATTTCTATATATTATATGGTTGCGGATCACCTTTGGATAGAAATTAAATTGTGTCCCATCAGTGATACTGACTCAAAAATGGTGTTTTTAAGAGTGAGGTTTATATTCCATCAGTCTATTGAGACAGATGCTCTTCTTTAAGTATTGTTCTTCCTTTGTATCTTTTCCAGTGACAGGAGCTGTGTGCCAGTCTCAGTTGACGGTCAGCCTGATTTCTTTCTATTCCTCCTCTGTGCTTGTGAGAGTAGACAGAGTTGCAGGACAGTTTGGGAATCTTTTAAAATCAGACCTGAAGTTGTGATGACAGTTGGGAGTGGTATGCACAGGTGTATCATTTGTCTTTTCTGTCTCAATTTTGCCTCTGGAACTAGATAAAAGCTGCAGAAGAAATCACGGCGTTTATCACAGCACAGTAATGAACTTTAGCATCTATTCAGATGGAGCACCTCGGTACCAGGTGGTGGCCTCCTGTAGGAACTCAAGGGACATGTAACTGGGCAATGGGTCATAGGATAACCATATGTTGAGGCTGGCTGGAGAGTCACCTGGCAAGTTGACCAGGTGTTCTGAAAGATAACGTCTCTCCATTGTCATCTGAGGTAACTGAGCATTCCCCTGCGAGAGAGGAAAGGGAGCGTGCATGGTTTTGTAGCAAAGGTGTCCTTCATAATTGCAGAAAAAGGTGAGGAAGAACTGAACTGACGGCAAAGGAAAGCAGGAAGTTCCATCATGCAAAGTGCATGGATTAAGACATCCTGAATTACTCAGTGCATTCTTACCTAAGCCCCAGAAGTGCTTGAGGGGAGGAGCAAAATGAAGTAGGGAAAATGAGTAAAAGGAATTTTTTTTTTTTTTTAATTAGATATACAGATCTGAATATTTACTTCATCTATTTAAAGCAATTTGATTTTTGGAACCGTTAGGAGTGCATGAATGCTTCCGGTCTCATATCTCTCAAAGTGGGGTATGCTTGTAGAAACTTTGAGGAAAAAGTGCTATCATGGTGGTGTAGGTAATTAAAAGCAAGTGGAGCTCATCAGTCCTGTAAAACTAGCAGATAAAAGCTAGAAGGTCTCGTTTCTGTAGAGGGATTACAGACACAATCAGTGCATCAGAGGAACCAAGCAAAGATAACCCTGGCATGTACGTGTCAGTGCTGTGTTTAAAGGCATATGTATATTACATACTTTGTCCACTGATGGCAAGTGTACAGGGGATTTGGTGTGTAAATTTAAGGATTTCACTCTGCTCCCTTTCAGGTGGGATCTCGCTAAATCAGTGATATCTCTAAGGCTTTGCACTTTGTGTTTCACACCTGGTCCGTACTCATTATGCCTCTGATACCACTGCAGTGGCTACAGCCCTAATGAGAAGTGCTGGGCAAACTTGAATGCCCTGTACATCTTTTTTTGTGTTACAGGTGTTGCTCTTAAAAACATATTAGTTATACCTTTACATTTAGATGATACAATTGAAATTCCTTGATCTTTGTTGTGCTTATTGTAGGGAATATGTTTAAAAGGCATGAATATGTTGTAGTAATGTTGCTTGGGGTTTGGGGGTTTGGTTTTTTTTTTTTTTTTTTTTTTTTGTTTTTTTTGTTTTTTTTTTTTTTCCAGAAAGTGAAAAGCATACATGAGATAACTGTACATTGTGTGTTTTCAAAAAACTGTAAAATTTTACAGTTTTTATCTCGCAGAAATGTACGTGAGTTTGGTTTTGGTTTTTTTTTTTTTTAAATCATGTGATATAAAAGCAAAAAAAACCCACTTGCAGAACCCCGGTGTAGTTGTGTGCTTTAGTGGTCTGTGGGTGCAGTTGCAAAACAGTATTACGAATACTAAACCAGAAATGGGCTCAAGAGGGACGTATGCAAATTCATGTAGCAAAAGTTCATGAAGAGCTACTTAAACACTAAGATCTCTGGCTCAATAAAGCCCCTAATATATGGACTTGGAAGCTGGAAATGTGTACCAAAGGAAGCATCACTGTATGTTTGCTTATATCCTTTCTCCAGCCATCCACTGCTGGCTGGTGCCCCAGACAGGGCAATGGATTTTGTGGACCTTTATTTTGTACTAGAACGGTTGTCCTTACACGTTAATCCAGTGGAGGTTGGGACTTGGCATGAGATAAATGGTTAGCAAGACAAGCATAGAAATGAAACAGCATCATAGAAGTAGGTGTGGGGTTTTTGTCTCTGGCAAATATGTCACGCTTTTTTTTTTTTTTTTTTGTGCTGAAATTTTTTAAACTTCGAAATGTACGAAAACAACTGGGGGATTGTTCTCCATAAACCACTTAAATTTAAAGGGAAAGGAGAGGAAAGCAAATGTAGTAAGTAAATTAATATAACAAAGGCTTTACGCCTATGAGCACTTCTGCATGTGCTTTAATTTCATTTCAGTGGTTATTTCCATTAAAACAAATATAAGTATTAACTAGAGTAAAGTTAAACTTGCATGTGAACTTCCAAAAAGGAGAGGCAAAAAGAAAGGTAAGGAAGAAAATGGAATCATTAAAGATGAGACACTTCGCAGAGGTGAAAGAAAGCTGGTTCTTGGAGATAAAAACTTAAAAAAGATTAAAGAACAACTTGTCTCAAAGAAAAGAAAACCTGATAGGGAAGGAAGAACAAATGAGGATTCGTATGCACGGAGTGCCAAGACACTGCCTTTGCGTAGAGGAGCACTGTGTTGTTGTAGGCCCCCTTCTGAGTAGGTGTCTGCCGCTGCATGCTCTGCAGTATCAAAGCTCAAGCTAATTTTTTTTTTTAATTGTATAGAAGTTTGCTGTCACAGTGCAATGGATTTTTTAAATGGGTGATAGTATACTGTTACTTACGTTTGTTAACTTAAAATATTGTTTGTTTATTTTTGTCGAATTGGAAGAGTGTAATTTCTGGAGAGATCTATCCTGAGGCTGGTATTCCTGATGGTGAATGAAGGTCACTGATGCTACATTTCCAGGTGACAGAAAACTGGACAATGCTTCAGGCAGTTCTGGAGATGGACAGGGATTTGGAAAGTCTTTGTTACAAGATGTGAATTAATGGATGCATGCAGCAGGGATAAGTGCAAAGTGTTGACTCCATGAACATACCATGAGCAGGGATCAGTAGTGCGGTAGTTTCATGGAAAAGGAGGTGCAGATTGGGTAGATCACAAATCCAGTATGAGTCAGCAATGTTACGCTCTTGTTAAGGAAACTGCGCCCTGGGACTTATGACCAGTACTGTATCTTCCACTACAAGTGAAGTAATCCTCCTGTTATGTTTTGTACCTGTAAGGTCTCAACTGGAACAATATTTCAGTTTTGTGCACTTGCAAAAAATGTAGGCCAGCTTCAGTTTTGAGGAATTGTGGGGGTGGGGGAGGCAGGGTTTCCCCAGATTCTCTGCATTGTCAGTGAGAAAGGGAGACACTGCCAGATGGTGATTCACCTAGAACTTGGTGTTTCACCTAGAATTGATGGTTGCTTTTCTTCAGCTACATAGAGCAGTATTTCTAAAAGTAGATGCATGATGAAACTAAGCCTTAGTGAACCAGTTAAAAACATAAACGCTTATGGACTATTTGGGTTTGTTTTTTTTTTTCTTTTTCAGTTCTAAGACAATACCAAGTTTTCCCTAATAAGAAATCAGCGAGCTCTCAGAGTTTTGTGCCAGCCCTTTTATCACATTTGGTTTTGCTGAGCCTGTCATTGAACTCTGGTTTCAGTCTTCTGTGGCAGCCAAGGCACCATAGAAACTTAATGCTCACTGTAAACTGCAGAATGGATGTTGTCAAATGGGGAAGAGAATATTTAAAACAAAAAAAATTTAAAAAAGGTTTTGAACAAAGCTCAAGTAGTTTGATGTTTTGAAACAGACGTTAAGTATATACTTAGTATTTTACTAGTTTTGCAGCTTCTGTGCTTCATGATGATACGGTATTTTAAATGGCAAAATTTTCTAGTGAGCTGTCTGAGCAGTGAGTTGTTTAACTCGGTAATAGATCTAAGTATACGCTCTTTGTTGCGATTTTTCCTCCTTGTGCTCATGCCAGTGAATTGTGACAACAATTTTTCTACTTGCCTGTTATCAACAAACTATTCACTAGCTTCTTTCTACCCAGATAGACATCAAATCAAGAGCTGTTGTTTTTTTAGAAATTCTCAACTGAGTGACCTGATGTATCAGTGGAAATGTATATTTCCACAGAGGTCATTTTTGCCTTCTCTCCTGAGATCAAGATCACGCAGGATGCTGTGCTGACGGCTCTGACAGTTATAATTGGTTTGCTCTGATGTTGTGATAACCCACTTTTTTTTTCTCTTCTTTTTTTTTTCCCCTCCAAATGCAAACTTAAAGTGCAGTGGGCTCACCGTGACTCAGGATCAAGATTTAAAGGTTTTCAGCCATCAGGTTTTCTAGTTTGTCCCAGTAAGCTGTTAGACATACATCTGGCACACAGAAAATTCAGTGATCAAAGTAGTATATGGGCTGTGGGACTATGTGAGGGAAAGCTAGATCTCTTCACGGTGAATACCTGATGTATTCTCTTTTGGCAGCTTTCCTGCTAGGCAAGTAAATATCCTGTAGCCTCTCTCATCTTTGTCCAGTTCTCTGGATAGGTTTTGTTGAAGATCATGTTTTGTTGTGTGTCTTCAGCTGGTGCTCTAGTTGCCATGTGGCTTGTTTCAGTGACTGCTCAGAGGCTGGACAGTAACCACACCAGAATAATACTCCCACAAAGAGCCTGGTGTATAAATAGTTGCAACTCCTCAAATAGTTATGCTGCTGCAAGTACCTTGATTAATTGCTATCTTGGCAACCTAAGAATGACATCATGGGTTTATAGTTGCTTCTTGAATGCTGCATAGCAAGCATATAACTTTCTCAGGAAGAATATTGTTTTTAACTTTACTGCACAGTTTATTTGGAAAACTATAATATACTTTCTGCATGTAATTATGCTGACTAGTACTAGTATTAACCATTTTATAGTACTCTACTTCCTACAGTCTTTGTAGAAGTGTTAAAATAGATGTTAAAAGCTGTGTAGGGAGTTAATTGGATATACAACATGAATGTATGAAACACAGTAAGCAGTATGATATCATTGCTGTTAAGCTCATGTTCTTTTTCTGCCTTGCACTCCTTACTGCTTATTTGCATTTCTGCATTGAATTTGTACTATTGGATTGCTGTGGTTTTGCTTGTGTTTTTTTGGAGAATGGGGAGAGAGGATTTGTGTGTGTGTGGTTTTTTGTTTGTTTCTCTTTTTTGGTGAGCGCCACCCTCCTGTGTCACGTTAGAAAATGGGAGTTAGCATGTTAGCGAAAATGAGCCCAACAGGAGCGGATCTGTGGAGAAAAACACACGGTGCCAAGGTCCCCGTGCAGTTCAGAAGGCTCTGCTTTGAGCAGGCTGCAGCCTGGCCCTGCAGGCTTCATTCCTCGTCAGCTGAATACTGATGAGGGGTGCTACCGAAGTGTGTGTTCCTGCTTGGTTTTGTCTCGAAGTCCAGTTCATGGGCCCCAATACCACTCAACAGTATGAGTAACAGCAGATTGAGTTGAGACAACAGGGAGACGATGTTCAAAAAGACACTCCTGATCCAAATGGAAAATGCCCACGTATACACCTCCACTGGACACTTCAGTTCTAGACAATATCAGTTTTCCTCATTTGCTTAAGATGGCGAGTAGTTGAGGAAGGGGCGTCCTCTCAAAGGGTTTGTCTCCCTGCTATGTTACTGTGCGGGTGAAGGCAATGAGAGTGTTTGTAGGGTTGGATACTCAGTTGTGTCTGTGCTGTCCCTGTGGTACATGAAGAGCATGCTTGCAGACCTTTGCACTTGTAAACCATTGCTCCACTGCTATGTTTTGGGTTTTTGGGGGTTTTTTTTTGGCTCTGGTGGCCTTTCAAGGCTCTGCTGAAAAGATACTAGATTTTTTTTCTGCTAAAACTGTATGGGATTGAACTGCACTTCCCAATGGGTTCTGGTGTTCCCAGTCCCTTCTTCACTTCTCTCTCCAAATCCCAGACTTCTGTGGAAGCCTCTGAGATAAGCAGGTAAGGTACTGGAGAGGAAAGTAAGCCGAGTCCATGGGAAAAGGTTGAAGGATCTCGCTTCTCTACCTCAATGCATACTTGGATGTAGCTCAGATTGGTAGTACTGTTTACTTCTCCAGAAGTCTCAGTGGCTCACTGTTACAGCTGCTCTGAAAGCTCATCTCAAAGAAGTTACTTTTATTGGCTGTATTTTTCTATAATTGTCCACAGTATATTGCTCTGCTTTCTCTTTCAATTAGTTTAATTTTTGTTAAATTCCCTTTTTGCAGTTCAGCTTACGACATGTACATTTGTTAGGAGGATGTTTAAGACACTTCTAATGAAATGTCCTTAAGATATTTCCTTCTCTTTCATTCCAGACCAGAAATATGGAATTTCTTTTCTCTACCTTGAAAACTTAGAAAGTTAAATAAGGAACGTGTTTGTTAAGTGTAATTTTTAGAAATCTAATAAGCATGGGCATCCTTTTTTCTTATTTTAAACACTGTATAATTGAATAGAAGGCATTTTCCAGAAATAGTCAAAATGGTTTAGGACACTTTATTTTTAAATTGATTTTTCTGTCTCTTTGCAGATGTATTTGTCAAGCCTTACATCAGAAGATCTCTGTTTTGGTTACTCACCAGTTGCAGTATCTCCGTGCTGCAAATCAGATTCTCATTTTAAAAGACGTAAGTGATTTCAGTGTCTGTGTTTTTATATTTCACATACTTTCTAATTATCCTTTTTCATCTAAGAATGGAAGAAAAAAAAACAGTATAAAGATTTTTATTTTTGGTTTGTAAATATATTTTCTGTCTACTAATGACCATATAAGTTTTTAAAGATTTATAATTATTAATGAAATAAGTTTATTTTTCTTAGAATACCTTCCCTGAAAAGTCTGTTTCTGAATTTTATCATGCATATACGTAATCTTACATATTGATTTTTATCTTACATATGTATACTATACTGTGAGAGAATTACTTAGAGACTGTGTTAATGTTTTGCTTTTATTCTTGTTTCTTACACTTTTGCGTGAATCAAGAACTATGTTGATTTTGCAACCAGGCCCTTTTTTAAATTAAGGCTGAGCAATGGTCACAGATACCTTTGAGAACAAGCAGGCCTTCAGCAAAACTGATTCCTTCCAAACTTTGTTGTACCAGATATTCATGGGGAGAGGGGAAATGCAAGAACTTCAGCTAGTTTGTTTTGGCTTTTTTTAAGGTTGGGTAGTGATGTATTTCAAATTACTTTTGATGCATCACAGAGTTGTAAAAAAGGACACTATCTGTGTCTTTTCCTCCCATTCAGATCTCTTTAAAAGTTACAGTAGCTTTCTAGAAATGAGTTTGTGATAGAGCCGTAAGAAGTGTGGAAATGGTCTGTGTTGCTCCTTGTAGAGCTCTGTGAGGACCAGAAAATTAAGCTGCTGTTTACCCCTAGCCTGGAGTAATAGAAAAAGACCGATGGTTATTTATGTAGTTCTACAGCTTCTCCTAAAGCTGTATGGCTGTCTCCCGCAGCTTCTCCAAGGAGGTAATTCTCACCTGGCTGTACCTGGGACTTCTGTCATCCCGTTTGTGTGCCCCTTGGCCTGGTTAGCTGCTGGGAAGGGACTGGTTAAAGGGTAAAGAGCTTGTTTCTGCTCTTCTAAATGAGGAACTGATAGAGGCTTACTGCAGTAGGATGTGTGCTCAGCAACTGCAGAACCTCAGAGGCAGCAGGGATAAATAGGAAAAATTGTCCTTTACAGAAAGTGTATAATGAAGATAATCAAAGCTTATATTAATTGTAGGGTAAAATGGTGGGGAAAGGTACCTATTCAGAGTTCCTGAGATCTGGCATCGACTTTGCTTCCCTTTTGAAAAAAGATGAGGAGGTAGAACAGCTGTCGGTTCCAGGAACCCCCAACCTGAAGTCTGCCCGGAGCCGAACCTTCTCGGAGTCCTCTGTCTGGTCCCAGGATTCTTCTGTCCACTCGCAGAAAGACGGAGCAGTGGAACAACCACCTGTGAGTGCTCAAAGGATAGATGTGTTTCAGTTCTTGTCTGGCTGTTTTTTAACTTAAACTGCGATAAGGACTTTCCCTGCTGCATTTGAATTTCAGGGATTGCTGGATTGCATTAGCAGGTGAGAGCTCACCCACGGTGGTTCTGCCTGGCACTGTGCTTGGCTGGCAGTCCTGCCACCTGGGCTGCAGAGGGCAGGCATCCCACAGCTCTGTGCTGTTCTCTTCAAACCCAGCAGAGTGAATTCCTTCAGGTTCAGCATCAGATCTGCTGCATGCATGACTGCACGCTGCTTCCTTCATCCTGTCCTCTGCCAGCGGTGCTTTAAAGGGCCAATACCACTGTATTGGGTGGGTTCTGTCTGGTCCTGCAGTGCCGAGCTCAAATTAATACTTCCCCCAAAATCCTGAGCTCTGGGAAGTGCATGCAGAGGTGGTGGCTTTATACAAAGTCTCCGTTTGCATGGCTGGCATTAACATACTCACATGATCTTGAGCTGGCCCTGAGGGGGTAACCTTGGGACACGGCTGCATTGGTCTCCCCAGCCCTTCTGTTGGTGAAAGCAGAATGCTTTGTATGGTGCCAGCTTGACTTCGGGTGCCTTGTTATCTCTTGGTCTGCACCGTGCAAAAGCAGCCAAAAGGTTTCTGTACCAGAGGTGGCCTTCTGCTGGTGTGCTTGCATTCACGCAGAACAGTGCAGGAGCCCTGAAACCGTGCTAGGCTTCTGCTAGCACTGCATCCGTGGAACACGTGGAACAAGTAGTCCCTGTGTGTCCCCGATGATTGTCACCTTTATGCTATGGGTATATGTTATTTGTTTTTCTTTTCTATAATAAAAAGCAGTGAGACACACACACACAAAGAAGAATACTAGACTTTTATTTTTCATACCTTTTTGGAGGAATGGTTTTATGCCCCAAAACAGTAAACCAGTAAATTTATCTGATATTACTGATGTTCCAGTAGTGACTCCACTATTAAATCCACAAAGGTGTGCCAAACTTTTTAGCAGCATTAGAGCTGGGGAGGGGGGCTGGAGAAACAAAAAAACAAGATTGGCTTATCTTCTTTTATAGGCAAGTAGGTGTGATTTTCCCCTTTCATATCTGAGTCGGGTCTTTTGATTCCACTGCTCTTGTAGAGCCATCTCTGCTGAAAAAAAAAATTAAGTGTTACATGTCCACTGAACTGGCACTAGTTTTTCTATCACATATACTATAAAAAAAAAAAAATCAGAATTTTGTTCATTTGAATAGTTCTTTTACCTTCTGTCTCATTTTTTCCTTTCCTGTCTTTCACTGTCCCCCATCCATTGTTTGCTTAATATGATTTCTGATTTGTCATTTTACTTGTTTTCCCTATTAACAGATGCTTTTGTTGGTACTTACAAGGAGGTGATTAGAACTTTATGGGTAGTTTGTTACTCTGGGCATGTGTTGATTGATTTTGGTGCAGACTTACAAAAGAGTATTTACTTTAAATATTTTTCTGGAAAGGAAAGGTTACACACACTTGCATTCTGAAAACAGAATCTTTCCCAAGTCAAGGCCTTAGTTTCCAGAGCTGATAACACTGAAGGTAGTATGTAAGAAAAGAAAAACTTGGTTTAGCGGTCAGTTAGAGTCAATGTTTCTGGCTGTAAATGAAGTCATGTTGCATTCTGTGATGCAATGAAAAATAAAATCCTCACAGTTTCATTTTGCAGAGTAGATTTTTCAGTATTACTGCACTGAGACTAATTTTTTTTTGTCAAAGCTATAGTTCCGATATTTGAAGTTTTTATATGTGTAATCACTTTATCTCCTCATTTTAATTGTTGGCTAATTCTGAACCATGACTTTCAAGTGGCTTAGTTTGAATCTGTAACTGCAAGGTTGATGTTTTTTACTCTGTTGTTTTTTTTTCAGCCTGAAAATGCACTGGCTGCAGTGCCAGAGGAGAGTCGCTCTGAGGGAAAAATAAGCTTTAAGGTTTACAGAAAATATTTCACTGCAGGAGCAAACTGCTTTGTGATCTTTATACTTTTAGTATTCAATATTTTGGCACAGGTAAGTTGTCGGGAGCCACAGATAATATTCAGTATCTTTTGGGTTTGCTTTTTTTTTTCTTTTTTTCTTTTTCTTTTTTTTTTCTTTTTAACATAGCATATGCTTGTTACTATGATGTTTCATCTAAAATGTTTGGGAGCATGGTGTTCTTTAGTAATTTTGTAGTATACTCGATCAAATTTTATATATCAGCATGGAGTTTTGGTACAGCATGGAGAGGTCTTTAACTGATCCTCCTTTCAACAGTTTTAATACTTCAATAAAATAATTATTTTACTGGCAGCATGGCACAGAAATTATAAGCCAGTCTAATTTTTGGAGATAGAGAACAAAATCATAAGATGTATAAAGTAGTGTTTAACAAACCTGAACAGTCAGTATGTTTCCACTTGAGGAGGGTAAAGAGATTTACTGGGTATGGGAGGGCAGAGTCTGACAGAAGTGTTAAAAGAAAAGCTCATCTCCTGATAAGTGCAGGTTATGAGAAGGGCTAGAAGGAGGGTCACTGTTTCGCAGAATAAGAAAGTGAGGAGAAGGATAGGCAAATTTTATGTGTAATGCAGACTGTAGCAGGGATGTAAAAGAATTTTTAAACAAGGAAAATGATTTTGAAACTTACTGAAAGAAATGGTGAGCTGAGGAAGCTGCATGAAGATAGCTTATTGCCTTTTTCTCTGTTGCCTGCTGAGAAAGCTTAAATTCATTTCATGGAAATGATTGGACTTGGCTATAAAAAATAGTCTATATATTTAGACATGTTACTTCCTTTTTGCTTGTCCTTGAATTGAGTCTGTTGGAAAGACAGCTGAGCAAGATCAAATCTCTGCAGCAGACCGCCCAGAACTTTAAATTCACGTGAACAGAGGTGTATTTTGAGATAAATAACCCTGTTACAAGTTTGTAGTCACCTCTCGGCACAGAAGGAAGGTGGCAGTAGGAGGTTTTTCCCTCCCTCTCTTCCCTCATCCTACTTCAGCCCCGTTTCTGGTAATTATCTTCCGTAAGCACAAATTTCTGGACTGGTAACATCAGAAAGTTTGTTAATCAAAAAGCATTTTGGAATATCTCTAGTAGCAAATTTAGGAACTAAAAAAATGAGTTCTTTAATGTGCAATTAACATACATTAGGAAGAGCTACTATATTTTGTTTGCTTAAATGTATTGCTTTCCTTTCGTTTGCTGTCATGTAAGGTAATTTAAGGTAACTTCTTTCTTTGTAGAGGGTTCTAATGCACCTTCTAATGTGCTTTGCAAATTGCTGCTGGTCTTGAAAGACTGGATGGCATACTTTCCTGAATATGTGATGTTTTCCCAGAGAACATGAAAGAATAGCAAGGAAATTTAATTTTATAATGTTTTTTTTTCATTTTGTAAGATGATTCTTGTATTTGCCTCTTTTACTCAAGGTGGCATATGTGCTCCAGGACTGGTGGCTTTCTTACTGGTAAGTTGATGATAACTGGTCAGTCATTTCTGCCTTTTCAGTCAAGTGCTTCTTGTCTAATAGAAATCAGTGCTGTATAGGTGGTGGTGGGGGGAATCCTGTTGGAGGAAACTTCAGAATATGCTTGGTCTTTTTCTGATCTCCACTCATTTTGTGTGGGGGAAAAAAAATTAAACTTTATACTGAAGTGTAGCCCGTGATCACTTCTACTCATGGTGTGATGCATGACAACATCAGTGCATGGGATCTTTTGAACTAAAGATTTCAACAGAGTTGACCCTAGAAACAGTTAAACGTACTCATGAATATTTGCAGAATGTGATTTTATGATCGTTATCTTCTGTATGCATTTCCACAGGGCAAATCACCAAGAGAAGTTGAATGTCACAACAAATGGAAATAATGGAGCAAATGAGACTGAACATCTAGACCTTAACTTTTACTTGGGAATTTACGCAGGTAATTACACATGCATGTGTGTGTGTCTGAATAACTTTATTATCTGACCTATCATAACAAACGCTTTTGAGAGGTGCGAAGAAACGGCAATGTGGGGAAATGTGATTTCTAGCAGTAACTGAATAATGTCTTAACAGATTAGGAGCCTGAGTCTTGCTTCCTGACTAAATTAATTGGAATAAATAAAATAATAAAATCTAACAGAAGAAACAGGTTGAATGCAGACTCTTAATTTGCTTTGCCTGGATTTTGGAAAGTAAACTAGGAATTGAGTATTCAAAAAGTCAGTCACCGTAAGGTCGTGGTTATTGTCTATACTAATAGGTCATTGAGCTAAATCTTCAGTCATTATATGGATGGGCAAGAGGGATTAGAAATGGATCTTCATTCTGCGCTGTTCTAAAACTTGGCGTGGCTACATTGCTTCTGAAGTGCCATAGCAAAAGAACCAGTTTTTAAAAAGCATCCTAGATGGGTATGCAAAGCAGGATGTTAAAAAACGTCTTAGTATGTTTCAATATGTAGCCATATGCTTCTGAATATCCAGAAAAGGGCATTGGTCCTTGTATTCAGGTATCCAAACATCTTGAAATACTGCTCTGAAATGTAGTAAAAATTGGTGTAGAAAAATCATGTGTAGAACTCTCAGACTCCGCTATTTAGCACTTCTAGTGATGTACAGTTTTGTATGGCATGGTAATTTCTTGATGGAGATGTAAATGATAGGTCTGAGAAAACAGGTGGGATACCAGAATATGCATTGAATGTATTCAGAAACATCTCTCGTGGGTGAGAGGATAGGTGGAGGATTTTTTGTTTGGGTGTTTGGTTTTTGGTTGTGGTTTTTTTTTTTTTTTTTTTTTTGGAATCCACGTGATCTAAGTGCTTGACAGAAAACATTGTGGTTGGCCTAGAAAGCAGCAGTTTAGGAGCCAGATAAACTTGGCTCTTATTTTCTTTGTGTAATGTCTTATTTCATGAGCTGTTCCAGTGGACTGCATAGTATGATTAAGTGTGGCAAACTTGGCTTTCTCTGACCATCTAACCTAAACCACGTTACGGAAAATTTTATCCTTTAAGGCAAATTTTGTTCTAGATAGCAGAACAGCAAAAGTTTTCTTTATATTGAAATGTTCAGATGGCTTTGTGAGATATTTGCAATAGTTTAACAGACAGCATTGACTTACCTACACAAAGTTGTAAGTGAAGTTGAAAAAGTTATAAAAAGATAGTATATTTTATATGAAGTACATAATAATCTAACGTACCTTTTTCTATAACCTCTGAAACTGTATAAAATAATTTATCATTTTTATTTCTGGTTCTCAATGTTTGGAAAAAAGAAAAAAATCACCATGGTAGCTCCTTCCTAGTCCTTGTTGTTTCTATGAGACAAAGATTTAGAAGACTAAAATTTCTGTTAATGGGAAACCTGTTGGCCAGAAGTGAGGTACCAATTCCACACCTTTTCTATAAAGCAAGTGTGCAAAGAGTCCTTGTCTCTCTCATACTGAGGTGGTAAGCTTGTAAATGGGGAAAGCAAAAACCTTCAGCGTGAGACAGACCGGATGAGACTTGAAAGTAAGTCTCATTCTTCCCCCTTCTCCCCAGTCATTAGGTCTTTTCAGGTGATTTGTTTGGTGAGGGTCATGCCAGCAGCTTCCAGTGGCTTCCAAGCGTGAGTGAAGTTGTGCAGAAATGTGGGGTTCCCAGGACGTGCTCGCTCTCCTCCCATCGCTCCCACAGACTGCTGTTAGGCATGGGCTCTGCCACAGCCTCCTGCTTAGTACCTCTTCTGCTCCCTTTTTGCATGACCCAGCTTTCCTGTTTGGGTACGTGCAGATACTCTTGGAAAAGGTGTTTTCTTTTACCTGGCCCGGAATACAGCAGTCAGGACAAGGCAAACAAGCTCTCATCCCAGCCACGTGCTTTTTTCTTAAAAACAGCAGAACATGGGCAGTAAACTGCAAACAGACAAATGAAATAGTGATACCTTTTCTTGCATCCTGGGAGGATACATCAGTAAGCAGGATGGAATAACTGATTGACTTAACCACATCATA